CCTTAAGAGCTCTCAGCTAATATAATTGCTGTGTACATATTGACAGAGCTGAGATGTTGTTTCATATAGCAATGACAGTAAATGAAATCGCTATCTCTCTGCTCTCTCTCATCGATCTCTCTCTCTCTCTTCTTCATCTTTCTCTCTCTGCCTCTCATTCTCTCTCTCTCTCTCTCTCTCTCTAGTATATATATAGTATATGGTATATATATATAGTATATATATATATATATTCTAATATACCCATAGCAAGAACACAGTAAACAGGCAAGTACAATTGTGGTTTTGATTATAGTCTAGCATGTGATTTCGTTTTTTCTGAGTCATGGTAAAAGCTGTGGTCACAAGAACGTTTTCGGGCACACATGTTCTAACGCGACATGCTTAAAACAGATACTTCACAGACGGGGAGAGGATTTCAAAAATTATTTCGATGGAAGCCAATTCTTGGCCGTTGGTAAATTGGATAAAGCGTACACGAACTGACCGTGAAACCGGCTCGTTTACAAGCAGGTGGCACGATTCAGAGCCTGCGCCTCAACAATTAAACAGCTTCAGTGGATCAGTAATCCGAGCTGCCGGGGATAGGGGGCGCGGAGGAAGGATGGGCGAGGGGCGGAAGGAGGGGTAAGGGGTGGCGCCCGAGCCTAACGAGGCTAAAATTGGTCCAAGTAAAGTGATCTGTGAGCGTCAGTAAGCGGTCTGCGGGGGTCTCGGATTTATGCTGCATCACGCTAAAGCTAAGCGCTACAAAAGCGATGTGAGGTCTATCTTCTCGATGCCAGGCGCGCACGTACGACGAAATTTCTCGTTTACGGCAACGAACATTTTTGTCGTGCGAACGTAGACATGTAGGTTAATAAAGTAAAACTAAGGGTTAATTGAGCAGTCAACGAGCTGGTTGGGCTCTGGGCCACGTGACCTTTACGAGGGCAGGGTCAGTTACGTATAGACCGTTGTTTATGCAAGAGATTGCGGTTGGGCACTAACACCCTTAGCATACACGTATTTTATTTGTAATGATAGGAAGTGTAACCAAGAGTAGATATTAATAACATAGAATGTTATATAATCTACTCTTGAATGTGTACCGAAGAAAAAAGCAGTAAAGGGCAGGATATTCAGCCAGGCTTATGATAAACAACACTTCTACGCTTTGCCGCTGACGTAGCTCTTTGAGGCTTAACACTGCTGTCTAGTTTTATTGAACAACAGAGACGCCTATAAAATAAAACCCCGTTTCCCTGAACTTGATCAGGGGCATTGCTATTGAATCGCCCGCTGTACGTAGAACGTCAGCGTGCGGCGCAATGAAGCGTGTCGATCATTACCTCCTCCGCGCCAACGGAGTTGCAGGGAGGTAATGAATCGCTCATCGTGTGTGTGTTCGTGTGTGTGTTCGTGTTGTGTGTAGCGTTGGCGCGATCGATTCAGCACCAGATTGCCTTAGGGTCGTCTCAGTCAGCAGCAGCTGCGGCTAGGGAAGTCCAGTCAGCAGCAGCTGCGCCTTAAGGGCGTCCAGTCAGCAGCAAAGCCCAGCAGGGAGCCAGCTGTTATACACAATGTACGCTGCGCGGGAGGTAATGCACTCTCTTGAGTGCGCGCTCTGTCCCTAGTTATAGAAGTGCTTTTGTTATTATTACCAACAGAAATTCATATTTCAAAAGCGTCGATCATATGATTTCATAAACAGTGTCGATCGAACCTTCCCGTCGGTTGCGTCGGCAAATGTTGCCTTTCCGTCGCCCCCGCCTGGCTCTATACCGAGTGTCGCCCTCGGCTCGCCTTTCATCATGTGATTCTCTCCGCCTACCTGCTGCTGCTTGCGCTGCTGCTGTGGTGGTGATGTTGATTAGTGGTTGGCTGTTGTGGCACGGGGCCGAGCGCCCCGGCTGCCGCTCAGGCCGCAGTGGTTCGCCCGCGTGCGCGTCGCCAACAGCCAGCCTTTATGAGCGACGCCGGATGCGCACCCGAGCGTTTCCAGATGTTCGGCCGCAACGCACATGCACACACACACACACACTCGCCCGCCCTACGCACACGCAGCACACACACACACGCACACCGCACCGGACGGACGACGCCGACGCCACCCGCACGACACACAGGCACAGCAACGCCCGGTGTCGAGCATGTCTAGCAAGTGCTGGAGTAGCGAGACCCGTGCCCGGCGTCCGCCGCCCATCGCTATAGTACGGCGACCATGTTCTAGAATCAGCAATATCTCCTCCAGCGAACGCGCTCGTTCGAATACAGTATAGCAGCAGCTTGTACGAATGGAGATTTCGCCCTGCGTCCTCCTCTCTTTCTCTCCTCTTCTTCTCTCTCGTCTTCTCTCGCTTTGCTCTCGTCTCTCTCCTCATTATCTCTACTGCTCATCGGCTCCACGCATCTTCTCTCGTCATCTCCCTCTCTGCTCGTCTCTCTCTCTCTCCTTCCCCCCTCTCTTTCTTTCTCTCTCTCTCTTTCGTCGATTCTCGGCGTGCGCGTATTATTTCAAAGGTGAAACGCTCACCGTGTAACCGTAGCTTTACGACATATACGTTTTACAGAATATGCCACACACATACAGACAGTCATAAGGATATACGTTTTACAGAATCTATGCTCTGTAGTTCTACGCCAGTCAATGTGGGCAGCGGGTGGTACCGTTCAGTAATGAACGAGTGGCGTGGACAGTCGTAAGAAGGGTCATTGGTGAAGTCTCCTGGGGCCAACAAGGGTGGGTGTGTGTGTGGGTGGGGTGGGGGGGGGCTTGCAAATACGACCAGCGAGGTGGACCGTATGGAGACCCTCTCTCAGTAGGATTCAGCTGCGTGTTTTAGTGCTTGCTTTAGACATGGCAGCAATCGCTGGTTTCTAGTGAACACCAAATTTGTGAAACAATGAGTATAGAATGGAACATTGAAATGGTGACGTAGATTATCTCGCATTTTTTCTCATTAGTTTTTCTGCTATTGATTATTGGACGGTGGGGATGCTCCTGATGCGTCCTTCTTCCCCGAATCCGCTAGTCAAAAGGGATGTTGTGGCACGCACGAAGACAAGCAAAGGATCTCCGACAAACCGAGTGCAATGAGTCGAATTCGTCAGCTGAAATTCTGTCATTGTCGGCTTCAATAGCGCACATTTTCGTCGGCTTTTCGTCAGAGCGACGACGTGCGTGATTATAGCTCAACTATATTCGCCAAGACCCTGCTATGAAGCAGGTTCGATCGCCGAGACGTGCAGCGCTAGCGATAAATTTATGCTAACGTACCTTTCGTATAACGATCGCGAATATAGTTAACTGCTAAATATCATTGCTGCTACAGTTAATTTTCGCAAAGTTGTGCTGCTACAATCGCCACGGGCATTATTAATCTAACTGATAACACGGCCGACGAAATCGTATTGATCACCGCTTGACATGGTATGCGGCGTGTATAATATAGGATCTATAATATACACTCCTGATGGTATGAGGCGCGGCAGTCCGTGTTCGTGTTGTTAGATGTGTTTATCGATGATCGCATTGCTAATGCTAACGCGAACTGACAGCTGGAAAAAAGGCCTGAGATTGCGGATGTATCCAGTGCCAGCGCACATCAGTCGTTCAGCCGGTCGGTCCATATAGCACAGAACAAAACTGCTGCGGTGTTTTGTAATAGAATGCAGCAATATTTTCGCTTTGGCAATAGGGGGTACTGATAGTTAGTGTACTAGGGTGGTAAAGAATTCCTGTGCACATGTGTATTGCGGTAGGCCTCGATGTATCCTTGGTATGTTGGTGCCGCGCTGCTATTTTGACACGTTATTAATGGGATTTTGCTTAATAAGTGGCAATGAAATATGAATAGGCAAAAAGTCGTCTTGTAATGGCAGGTACGGAGTGGTTCTGAGTGTTACTGAACTTTCTGTGCAACCGGTGTAACATTTTCAGTGAATCAGAACTCCTGTATAGACCTACGCTTACTATCTCTCAATAATATGCACAGAGATGCTCTTATACCTTTCGACGTGTCGAGTTCTTTCTCGTTCACCCCTTTCTTACTCTTCTCTCTCCCGCGCACTCTCTCTCTATATATCTATCTACCATCAACCTATCTATCTATCTATCTATCTATCTATCTATCTATCTATCTATCTATCTATCTATCTATCGATCTATCTATCTATCTATCTA